CATAATAATTGCTTGCGTGACAAGCAACAGCCAAGGCATTCTGCTTTCTTGACTTATACTTTTTCTCGCAGTTATATTCTGCAAAGAAGGAGAGCCGTCAGGCCATCCTCTGCGAGAGGTGAGGCGACTGAGTCGTAGTGCGTAGTGACGCATAACCTGTGTCGATCACAAACGGTTTTATGACAAGCAGGTGCACCCTGAACTTGACAACTGCATACTTTTCGCACTTTATTTCTTGTCGTGGACTGTGTAGTTTCTCACCGCAGCCTCAAGCTGGTCGGATTCGAACGCGATCACCCGATTTCGCCGCTCGGCGTCTGCTTGTAGCAGTGCACAGCCGATGGCAAAGTCCGAAGCGTCACAGACGACACTAAAAAGACGATTGGGGTCTTGCAACGCCAGTATTGTTGTATGAAGGAGGCGGTCTCTGACCCTGTCGAAAGCGTCCGATGATCGATGTCATAAAACAATTTTGTATCCTCCCAAAAGGATTAGACAATGGCCGTGCCATTTCTTCATAATTTTCGTTTTAATTGTGCAAGTAGCGGGCGAGGCCAAGCCACTTGGGTAAAAAACTTTTATTTCTTTGGAACCGGCCAGTCCGCAATTACCTTGACCTTAGCGGGATACGCTCGAAGGCCACGCTCCTCAATGAAGCACCCTAAAAACGGGGTTTCTTCAGCGCCGAAGATGCACTTATCTGCATTAGCATACCGCTTATTCGTGTGCATGCACTCGAGCACCGCTACCAAATGGACGATGCGGTTTTCCTCATCTGTCCTCCAGTGCCTTTTACGACTGTAAGCGAAGATGCTGTCGAAGTATGTCTGTGCGTACACCTGGTGGGACCTGAACAACTGCGTCACAAGACGATTAAACGTTGCTGGTGCATTTGACCGCCGTTAGGGCACTACAAGCTACTCCCAGGGCATACCGTCCGTAGTACACACCGCTGTCAGCGGAATATCACTCGCTCTCATGAGCAATTTTAAATTCCCATCGACCAAGTCGAGTGCGCTGTACTTTGATCAGCCAACCATATTGTTCTGAAAAACATTCATTTTCAGGAATAGGTTTCTGTGCCGGAATGGTGGTTGCGTTCAGCTTATTGTAAAGTGAACGATATGCCACTTGCCGTTCGGTTTCCGGACATGTCGACGTACCCAATGTGTAACGGAGTTACACGTATCCTTGTATATTAGAACGTAATACACAAGATGGTTTGACCGTACAAAAATGTGGATTATAAAGTTTAGTGTAATCACACAATGGAGTGGCTACACCGTATCAAGATGCCACTACGTGGCAGGACTGCCAGTAGTAATGCATATTTATTAGAGTTTTCTATTTAGTAATGAAGACCTAAGGTTTGGATATTGGCGGCTCTGCCGCAAAAAAAAATGAATACAGCTTCAATGTTGAACGGAAGAGCGTCTTTACTTTGGCGGAGGTTTTAAAGTACTCTGGAGGTAGCGGATTGCGATCCGCTACACTCGTACTGGTTCTTGTATAGATTGTAAGGTCGGTGGCTTTAGCTTAGCTTCCTCTAAGCAAATGGCCTCGCTGCACCTGGTAGAACTCGCAGTCAATCTACGCCTGAGTCGTTACGACTGATTTTCGGTGATGATGAAGCAATTCTTCTAATTGCCCCAGGGCATGAGGACAGGCTTCAAAAGCTGATGTCTTTGCTGGACCCTGAGGGCGTGCAGCATCTTGTTTTGCAAGGTCCCGAGCGATGGATACAAGCCTAGAGGTGTTTTTTAGCCATGAAAGTGCTCTGCTAGAGCACCTACAGCAGAAGCTGTCGGCGTCGACTGCGTCACATGACTCATCCCGACCCAGGCCGCTCGGGGTGAGCGTTGAGACCTTCGAGGGAAAGGATGGAGAGAATCCTTTGCTCTAGGAAAGAGAGGCCGAGATGGCTATGGCATCCGCTATGCTCCAGAACGAGCAACAGCGCGTCACACTAGCTATCTCCAAGTTCGGGGCCGAGCGCGAGAATGGGCAATTACGTACGGTGCTTCGGTTGAAGCTGCGTCCCTTCTGGTAGGAGCTGCCAGGCATATCACATGCGATCGTGTTTCCTTGCCGCTTGACAAGGCAAGAATGAGCTAGTGGACCTTGTCCAAGCGTTGAAGACACCCAGTGCCAGGATGGAAGCCGGCTCTCTCCCCGAGGCGGTCGCAGCGACCGTTTATATGCAGGGCCTCCGCACTGGCGTGGCCAGAATGGAAGTCTTCCGTGTGCATCCGTATTCTTTTAAAAAAGCGGTGAATGTGGCACTGAATGCTGTATTCAACTTTAAGTCGGCAAGACTACCGGGCAGCGTCCAAACACCCGACGGTGTTTTGTCTGTGGAGACACCCATCACCTTCGGACAGGTTGTCCCCTGCACAAGGTGCGTCAAGGTTCATCGAACCGACGCTTCGCTTCTTACCAGTCCGGCTTATCGCGGTGAAACGACAAGACCCAGTAGCCCGGGGCGTCCTAATGGAAAAGAACTGAGTTCTGTTGAGCTTCAAATTGGTAGAGGGCAGCAGGTCCCAGCTCCGAAGAGCTCCGTGCTCTTGAACACTGAACGGGTATGCAGCCCGGGTTCGCTGGTCATAAGAGCGACCGTGAAGGGCTTTGAGAAGCCGTGGAAGATCCTTATCGACATCGGGGCGTCGGGCAATTATGCTCGATGCTCCACGATCAAAGGAAGTCAGTTGTATGCTGAAGCGCTGAAAAGCGGTTGAGCGACACCGTCACTATGCCGAGGGTCCCGGTGGACCTCGGTGTCAAGTTTTTTACTTTGATAGTGTGGAGCTCTGCTTAGTCTTAGACTTGGATTTAATGTATGACCTTATCCTTCGGATGGCATGGCTGGAGTACCATGATCCATGGATTGTTTGAAGATCGAAGACCTAGGACGGAACGCGCACGTCTCCTGGTGAAGCTTTGGTGAGTCATGAATTCATCTCTGCAAGGAAACAGAAGCGCTATTGGTGCGGGCACTGGACCAGGACGGTCAATTTGCTGGATATCAGAGTACGCGAGATGTCGAACACCGAATTTGTATTGGACAAGAGTCCCAAGCATGGCCCGCGAGTGGCACGTAATCCATTGAGCACTGCTAAAAAAACAAAGCAGTTGCTGCATGCCAAGCGTGGCTTGGTCGGCCAAGGGCCGAGGTATCGAGGGCGAGGCCCCCGTGATTCACGCGAAGTGAAGCGTAACCCACTGAGCACTGCTCACGGCCCGGAGCAGTTGCTGCATGTCAAGTTTGGCAAGGTCGAACGAGGTCCGAGGCATCTTGGGCAAGGCCCGTCAAATGCATGTGGAGTGGCACGTTATCCACTGAACGAAGACTGCGAAAATAGAAGCTCTTCGTCGGATGTTGTTATTAACATCAGGGCCCCAGCGGTGCAGGAATTGGGGACTGATGCTGGATGACGCTGAGCGCGTGTTCCCACTGGTCTCGCTGAGACGTAAAATCTATATAGAGAACAGACGTTGAGGCCTTATGTTATCTGCAAGACGCAGGGCGTCGACCCTGACCCAGGTGTGTCTACCGTAGACAATAGCGCACAGCGATATCTCTTGTCAACGGTATGAAGGGAGAGAAAGACGGCTACGTCACCCTAGAGGCTATTCCCGCGTTGGATGCTCTTCTTGAGCTGAACGAGATGTCCTTTGCGGTACCTTAGAGGCAGGCGATTCACCCGAGGTGGTAATTATACGATCGAACGAGTATTTTTTTCGTCGTCGCTTCTGAGTAAAGCTGTCCTGGAGGGCAATAGGAGGGTGCTGAACGCTCGAAGTGGATCTTCGATTTTGAAGGATCTATCAGCTGCGTACCATCCTTTGGTAAAGATTTTTTAAGACGTCGATTCCAGAGACCCGTCATCGTTCCTACCTCCGGACCGAGGTGTGCGTCATAAAATTGACCTGGTTCTGGGGACTAAATACTGCGAAACACGCCAATGGCCCCTGTCCAAGGAGCAGTGCAACAACATTGACACCTTCTTCTATACGGAGCTAAGACGCACGAAAGGTGCGTGAGAGTGAGACTCCCCATTCGACACCCACGTTTTCTGTTCGGAAGCCGAACGGCAAGTGGCGTTTCTTTCACGCTTACAATACTGCACAGACGCCAATTCTTAGAAAGGAAGACATACAGAACAATATGGTTGGCTGTACAAAGTACAGCGCACTCGATGGTTATTATGCTCATGAGAGCGAGTGATATTACGCTGACAGCGGTGTGTACTCCGGGCGGGATACTCTGGGAGTGGCTGATAATACCCCAAGGGCTATCAAATGCACCAGCAACACTTAATCGTCTTGTGACGCAACTGTTTAGGCCTCATTGGGCGTATGCACAAACATACTTTGACGACATTTTCGTCCACAGTTGTGCGGGGCACGGGAGGACAGATGGGAAAACCACATCAGTCATTTGAGAGCGATGATCGAGTGCATGCGCACGAATTAGTCATATGCTGATGCCGATAAGTGCATCTTCGGCGCGGAAGAAATTTTCTATATAGGATGCTTCATTGAAGAGCGTGGCCTTCAAGCGGATCCCGCTAAGGACAAGGCCATTGTGAACTGGCCGGTTCTAAAAAACCAAAGGACTTGCGGAAGTCGCTTGGCCTCGCCAACTCCTTGCACAAGTACAACGAGAACTGAGCAGAAATGGT